CTCTTTATATCTGTACTTTTATAATATCTATTTATATAGACATATATATATATATATATATATATATATTACAAAACCACTATATATATATATATATATATATTATATATACATATATATACATACATATATATAGATATTATATATATATATATATAGATATATATATATAGATGTATATCTCTAGGTATGTGTGTAGCAATACGTCCATAGAAGAATGGGCATACATGTTTATGTAGTTTTAATAACTCATCACTCCTGGTTCCAAGCCAACATCGGAAGCATGCCGTGCGCCGTAGAGACCACCGTCTCTGCATGCAGAACGATAAGCCCACCTTCTGATACGCAGTCATACCTGGTGCCATGGTCCCCACGTTGTAGTCCTCCGTCTGCCCTTCGTTCACGACCCCTCGGTGTGCATCCGGCCCCGCAGATGTTACGTATTCTTTTCATCGCTTGCGATCACTAGGGCCACAGTTAGCGACGCATCAAGACACCAGAGACAACATGATCACTCACGTGCTGAGCCTCCTGCTAAGCTGCTGCAGCTTCTTGTCGTTGGCTGCATCCTCGGCAGCCTTCTCGAGATTCTGCCGCCTCTCTTCCTCCTGATGCCTGGCGACCTCATCGTGGGTCGGCGGCAGCCTCTCGTTCTGGATATCGACCTTCCTCGCGTCCTCGAACGTGCTAATAGCGTTCTTGATGCCTTCGGCACCCAGCATGAGCGTGCCGGCAGGCAGACGTCCGCCAGAGACCGTCTTGAGCTCCGTGACACGTTCAGACTCCTCGCGCAGAACCTGGAAGACGCGCGACAGACGCCCAATGGCCAGAATCTTGTTCTTGATCGCGCGCCTCTTGAACTCGATCGAGTCGGGGTCCATGTTGACGGCGGCGGCCGAGGACAGGGGAGGCGAGACGGGGCCCGGCGAGGTGGATGATGGCGTGGCGTCTTCTTTGAGCTCCTCCTCGGAGCACGTGCTGAGAATCGCAATGAGCATATCGGTGATCTTCTCACCGACGAAGGGCAGCGACCAAGTGAAGACATCCATAAAGTTGGGGAGCCAGTAGGGGTGAGGTGTGCAGTTGAACTGGCGAATGTTCATAACATTGTTCTCGTACTTGAGAACGGCAGCCTTGTTGTTGTAAACGTCCAGGTAGTTGGGCGCCGAGAAGATGGTCATGACACTGGGGAAACCAGTGGTGCGTGTCTTGCGGTACATGCGGTAGCCTGCATCCTGGGCCTCGTGCGCACGAATGACGGATAGCAAGTTGTTCTTCTCGAGGAACGCGCACGCGGCGGGGTAGGAGAAGAAGTAGGAGCAGCCTCGGACGTTATTGTGCAGGAAGTATCACTCGTCTTCTCCTGTCCACAAGTCTTCGAGCGGATCAGCCCACAGAATGTCGCACATGAGGCCTTGTGTAGGAGGTTCACGGAAACGGTCAATCTGCGACATGTTAGTATTTGAGGACTGAGAGACCGACACTCGCTTCAACGAGCCAGGGGAGGGGGGGCTGGGACCTACGGTTCGCAGGTCATCGAGCGTGTGCAGCTCGGGGCTCAGACCACCGTGGATGCAGAGGAACTGCTTGTTCATGACAGCGGCCAGGGGCAGGGAGCAGAACGACTCCATGCAGGCCTCGTAGACGGCCTCGGAGTACTTGTGCTTGCACTCGAGCTTGAAGGTGAAGTAGTCTGTCAGGTGGCGACACTCGTGATTACCGCGCAGCAGCCACAGCGAGTTGGGATAGTGGATCTTGAGGCACCAGAGGTACAGGACACACTCGATGCTGAAGTAGCCCCTGTCGACGTAGTCGCCGAGGAAGAGGTAGCGGGTCTCGGAGGGGTCGCCGCCGACTTCAAAGAGCTTCATGAGGTCGTAGTACTGGCCGTGGACGTCACCGCAGACGGTAATGGGCGCATCCATCTCGAGCAGGTTGGGCTCGGCGCGAAGAACCTCTGTGCCCTTCTTGAGGATCCATAGAGCCTGCTCTTCGGTCAAGCGACCCTCGCGATAGAAGTGCTGCTTGAGGAAGTTAATGTCGGGCTTGCTGTGGGTTTCGTCGTGGAAGAACTGCTCGTTGGTGGGCTTCTGCATGGCGGGGGCCTGCACATCTATTGGGAAGAGTTAGAGAGTCGGTCGCGCAAGTGTGATCATGATAATACAAGAGGGGCAAGGAAGGCGGGGAGAAGGAGGAGCAGAACAGGGACAGAGCATCAATCCAGTCGTGCTTACCCTTGCAGACACGCTCCATGGTGTTCACCTGGGTGCCATCTTCCATGGTGTGAATGGTGAAGTCGATCTCGGGCAGGGGCTTCTTCTCGCGAATGGCTCGGATGGCATTATCGACCTGCTGGTTGCGAGAGGCATCGGCGCCGGTAGGCGTGCCGGGATTGTCTGTGTCCATGGCGGGCGGCTTGGGGTGGCGGAGGAGGGGTTTGCCTGGTCGGGTGCAGAAGGCTCCTCGCGAAGCTGGCGAACAGGAGGGGCGCGGTGAGCGGCAGTCCAGAGGGAATACCAGCGCCGAGTCCAAAGTCGAGTCGACGTGGGTCTAGGCAAGGTGAATCAAGTTCGCAATGGCATCAAGCGAAGGAGAGAGGGACGGGATTTGAAGGTCGCGTGGTTGGGCACGAGCGGCGAAATTGAGAGCGGCGGGCGAACCAAGGCAGGGAGGTGCAGGCGTAAGGTAGGTGTAGGTGTAGGTGTAGGTGTAGGTGTGATAGGGCTGCGATGGAGAGGAGGCTCGAGGTGACGGGTTCGAGTTCCAGGTCGGGTTCAAGAGGCCGCCACAGGAGGGGGGCGAGTAACTTGGGGCGAGTACCTAACTTGGGCGAGTAACTTGGGCTGGAGCGCGGACCAGGGGACCACCAAAAGGCGAGAAGGCAAGGTCAGCAAGCACTATCTGTGCTGGCTGTGCTGGCTGTGTGAAGTGCCGCCTACCTAACTTGCCTAGGTATTCACCTAGTAATGTTCCTCGCTGCTGCTGACGATGGTGGGCTTGGAGCTGGCGGGGCTGGGGTAGCAGAAGAGCACGAGGAGGCGAGGCGAGGCGAGACCAGTGGCAGGAGCAAAAAGAGGGGCAGGAAGGGGAGGGGGGAGGCAAGAGGAAGGGGGCACGCACGAAGCCAAAGGGGGGCAAGAGAGAGGGTCCAGGGTCAGGAGAAACAAGGTGAGTCTGGTGGGTAACGGTACGAAGGTACGAGGGTACGTGCGTACCTGCTCCGACGACTGTGGCTTGGGCTTGTGCAACCCCCATTTCGTCATGGGCGCTTGATCTAGTATCCATAGCCATCTGCCTGCAGATGAATTATTCTCTCTCTTGAGGCCCGACTCAAATGTCCCACCACTACTTGACTGAGAGAGCATTTTGAACTGAAAACGCAGCCGATGTCGATTATGTTGATCATGTCATTGCATTGTGGCTCCATAATGGGCTAGCTGCCAGTAACGAGCCTCGGGGATCGCGATCTCCCGCAAGGCTTTGAAGCCTGTGAGCAACATGTGAAATTCCACGCTTCTCAGGTCTCTTTCTACGACCACCATTTGTGCAGATCCCCTCTCTTCTACCAACATGAAAATCATGGTCAGATCCATCTCATTATTGCCCCTGACAATTACCCAGACAAGCATATCGTGTCATTGACCTGTGTATCTTTCTCGTATACAATCCAATGGCCCTAATGATCGACAGGGGGTTAGGGTCCGCCTAGTCTAACTGCCTGCCACAAGTAAATATGAGGTCTTCTCTCATCCTCCAAGAATTTGTAGAAATAACACAAGCAGCTGACTCTGTCTTGCTACTGATGCCAGAATCGGGGGCACATACAAATGCGGCAGACGGCATTTCACACAGCGTCCTGCGACCCAAACTCCATGTTGTGTCGTGTCTCGAGTTGCTGGCCAAACCCTGGCACAAGCTGCTTCAAATCCAACTGACTTCAATTTGTTAAAAAGCCCAAATACCCATAATATGCCATGTCTACCTACCCAGGTAGGTGATACCTGCACATTGTATTGGGGATGCTGTGGCTGGCCTGGCTGGTTGTCGTCGACGAGGCTCTGCTGTGGCTGAGGGTGTGAGAGGAGCGGCCTGTTCTTCCTTCGTCTTGCATCACCATCCACCCATCTCCTCGCAAGTGCGCCTACTCATGGCGCAGGCCTCTCGGAAACATGAGCATGTTCAGCTTCTAAATTCTTCCTAGATTCAGCTTCCATTCATGTCAGTTAGAATCTGGCTATCTACACAAGGTAAGGTAGCTTGGAAACGCATCTGCTCCGAAGCAGAATGTCCTGCCCCTCCCAATGCACCTACGCCGGCGTTTTTACAGTGGACAACATCTACCCGACGACTTGGCTCAAGACATCCTCACGAGGAAAGTTGGTGTTTCTCCACCTCGAGATGAAGTCATCTCGGTTGACTACAGACCAGATCAGTTAATGTGACATCACATCAGGACGGGAACTCACTATATGCACCGCACATGCGCCTCCGACCCTCGAACGCGCTTCTTCCGTGCATGACCCGCCAGTTGTCAAAGACTGCAATCTTCTCGTCAGCTCTGATCACTTCGGAAGGGAAATTGGTCCCACGCACTCAGCAAATGGCCAGGCTTCAGCTGCACCCAGTACTCAACCTCAGGTCTCCGGAGAATGGCATCCCATTTGCGTGCCGCAGCATACCATTCCGCCGGCGAGTAGCCCTCGCCGAAAGGCACGACTCCGCGGTCATCGTTGTTCCACCTTACGCGGGCAAGCTTGCCGGTCGTCTCGTCCAGCTCTAGCACGGGGTACCGCTTGTTGGGTGCGATGGTGATGCCCTCGTTACCGCTGGCGTGCCATGGCAGCTTCACCTTGGACAAGATCTCATACGCCTGAGGGTCCTCTTCGAGAAGAATGCTGGCGGCGTAGAAACCGTCCACCAACAGCGATTTTCCGCCGAGCTCACCCTTCAGAGCGCCTGGGGGTGCCTCATGAGACAGCATGTGGAAGGCTTGGAGGCCAGCGGGGTCGCTGAAGTACGTCGTGTCCGTGTGGGCGGGCAGGGCGAGGTTGGTATAGGCTGTGTCGGCGTGGGCCATGTCGGGGATGAAGTCATAAAACCCGCCATAGTGAGTCTCCCGGATGAAGGCAATCTTCTCGAGCGCTTCTTGCGTCGCATCGGGGGTGTCAAACGGCGTGCCGCTGACGAACACGAAGCCGTTCTCGCGCTGTCGGGGGTCAACATGCTGCCTTGACGTGACTTGCACGCAAAACTCACGATGAGATTGGTCAACCTGGCGATGCCGGACTCGTTATTGGGCGTCATGAGTTCCTGGTAACTGACGACAGGACGGTCGATGTCTATATCGGCGCCCCAGAGGCGCTGTCTTTAGGCTGTCAGCAATTGGAGCAAAGTGACACTGGAGACCTGACGAGGCAAACAACTCACTCGACATCCTCAGAGCTACGATGATCGTTCTTCAAGTAGTGCTTGATGAACTTCCAGGGGTAAAAGCTCTGGTGCCCGTCTCCTCTCCCTGCAAACCATCAGTCCTGGAAACGATCCGACAAATGCATGGTCAGTTTGTATTAATTCTCACACTTGATGCTGAGGCCTTCGGCTCCAGGCGTCACCTTGTCAGGCCGGATTGTTTCGCTGATCTGAATATGGGTATGAATTAGCACGCCCAAACCAATTGGCATGCGGTGAAACTGACCGCAAAAGTCTCAAAGTTGCGTTGCATCGTTTGTTGGTTGACGCATTTCTCACAGCGACAATTGTCTCTGCGTCCAAATGTCAGAACCGAAGGTTACACCACGCCATCATTCATCCCCTGAAATGGTCAAACATACCTCAGCCAAAAATGCGGCCTAGGAAGAATCAGGTCAGCAGACGGCCTGCATCGGGTGTAACAGGGGAGAGCGGCCTGCGACCTACAAGGTCTCTCTCTTCACATGTTCGCCTTGCAGGTTTCGAACGCGAAGACCGTCGGGACGCAGCTGGACGTCGTAATGGGTAGCGTCTGTTGGGTGAGCTGTCGTTGACGAGAGCCTGGCAATGTATGCAGGTCGAGCTGCGCTGCGCAGTGTCAAGGGACGCACAACGGCTCTGCACTTCTTGTCAGTCAATGCAGCGATCGTGCTAGACTGTCTCAACTTACCCCGCGAGTGTCTTGGCTGTTCTGATTGAGGGAAGCATGACGAGCATGAAGGCAAGATCCCGAGGTTATCCGTCACGATGAAGCAAAAGAGAGAAAGAAGACGGGCGCCACCAAGCCGCTTGATAACAGCTCTCCCCGCAATGGAATGGCCCGATCGGATCATCGGACTACCTACTGGGCTTGGGCTTTTGGCTCTGATCCTGATCCGGGGGCCTTTCGACCATGACCAGCTTGCGGGTCCGCATCGCCCCGGCCGGCTGTTAGCGGCCATTAGGCCTCGGCAACGCCCTTTTCTTGTTTCTATTAACCTCCATCGTGCCCCTAGCCTCTTGTTGCTCTTCACAGCGTCGAGTTCGAAGGGCACGGCTCGTCTCAAAGCTCGTCATGTCTTCATGCACCTCGCTTGCAACAGTCAAGGCAGACTCGCAGGCAGATCGGTTGGCCGTTCATCGCGTCCCTGCCAAGACGGCGTCGTCTCGCCAAAAGCCAGACAATTAGACGCCGTGACACGCTGGTCGTGCATGTTGCATCGGCTTTGCAAGCCGCATCGTGGTCGATTCTACGCGACCGCTTACTGACCCAATGGATAGTGGCTTCTAGCCGCCCAAGATCGCGACACCATGATGCAGCTCAATAGAGGTTTGATCCAGAGTGTCGGGACCAACCATAGCCCTCGACAGACTTGTTTCCTGACCAGGCTGCTGGCCTGAGTTGGACGTCTGATGGAGCAGGACCGGCTGAAGGCTCACCAGGGCTGCTTGATCAAATGCTCAAGAGGACTGCCCTGCCATCGATGAGTATGCTTGATTTTGTGTTCCTGTCTCTGACATGCTGCATCCCCTGTTATGCTTGCACTCGCTTTTTCTTCTCGATACCCCATGGCCAGAGCACCATGCCGTCTTCAACACTCTCAAGCAGCGTCTGTCTGCTCTTCTGGATTACGCTGCATGGTGTTTTAGCATTTCGAATCGACATCAAACACCTCAAATCGCGCGAGCAGGCTGTTCCACAATGTCCGTTCGACACTTACAAGCCATGTGGGAATGGACTTGAAGGCGACATGTGTTGCGACAGCGACTCAACCTGCCTTGTCACAGCGGCGAACACAACCGGCATCTGCTGCCCTAGAGGGAGCGACTGTACCGCCATAGCACCTCTCTCCTGCAACATTGACCTGCAGAACTGGAGAGTCTACCCGGACGCCACCGTGATGACCATGGCTCTGCACCAGAGCTTGCCAACGTGCGATGACAAGTGCTGCCCTCATGAGTTCGTCTGTGTCAGTGGGCCGGATGAACGGGGCTCGACTTGCCAGTTGGATCCTGATCAGATTGCATATACCACTCTGATGCCCAAGCCATCTGGATTTCTGGAAGACTCGGCCGTTTCGGTGACGTTTCCTGTTCAGAAACCGATTTCAACGCTGGCGTCGTCTGGCTCTGTGTCGGCGACCCCATCTGCGGAGGGCACGAGCACAGAACAAAGCGACCCACCGTCTTCAGAGCCTGCTGTTGAAAGCAGCAGTACATTGACAACACCTCCTGCTGGAGAGCCTACCTGGGATCCAAGTAATTTGGGGGAAGAGCCACCCGAGAACTCTGGAAGCTCCAAGACCGTTGTAGTCATCGCCTGCGCGTCTATGGGAGCAGCAGCTGTCTTCGCGGCGGCCATTTTATTCTACTGTTGCTGTGTCAGAAAACGAGGCCGCTACTCACGCCGAGGGCCGACGCCCCCACCAAAGCCCGATTCACACTTCATGTCATCAAAGTCAACGTCTTACACCTCGGTGGCTGAGATCGACAGCAAAACCTGCCTGGCCGAACTCGCGGCCCACCCCTGGAACTACCCCGAAGTACCAGGCGAATTGCTGCCCAATGGGTTCCCCTTCATACCCGCACCTGAAGGACGCGCCGAGCTGCCGGACACGCCCGTCTTGAAGCCTGTCTCGGTGGTGCCTTTGAGTGTGTGGAATAAGCGAGATGTGGGCAAGTACGAACGACCAAAGTCACACAGGGGTCAGCATGACAGTCCTTGAAGCTGGGATCTTGGCTACCAGCAGCATATTGGACTTCTTTTCCGTCTCATATCCCAAAAAAATCTCTCTCAAGGCACGCGATTGTCGATAGGTACTAGCCGAAGGAACCAGTGGTTATTACTAAAAGGCTTCTCAGAAGCTTCAGGAATGGCCTTGAATACGCAGCAAGGTCCCTGCCGCCGAGGGTTCTACCTGGAACTACTTGAAAGATCACAAAGGATCGCGAGGTCAAATAGATCAACCTCACATCAAGGCTCTTCGCCATCTTGAGCGTCACGGAGTGGCACGCGAAGACTTTATCTCCCCCTTCTGTCACAGCACTTCTCGACATGCCGCCATTTCACAGATCAGTCCGCGACCTTACCGACAAGGCACTTCCAACTCTCTTCTTCTTCGTGGTCGTGGCCTCTGTCACCGTCGTTTTGACATATTCGAACGGTTTCAAAGAGCCTGTGCCGCGCGACGTCATAACAGGACTCACTGCGACGCTCGGTATACTCGTCTTCCTCTTTGCCATCGGTCGCACATTGCTCTACTTCAAGGGGCCCCTACCGCCTGAAGTAGACGTCGAACAAGCCTCGGTTGGAAGCCGCCTTCATCCAACCATGGCACCGATGAGTATCGCCAACTCGACTGCACAGCAATCCAGCCAGAGACAAAGGGAAGCCGCCTTGATCCACACGGCGCCATACCCGGAGAGTGATACCATGATGGGTCAGATCACGCCAAACAGGGCGATCCCTGATCTACCCAGCCAGGTTCCGGCACAAGAAAGCTCAAGGCATCGTCAAGCTTACGGTAACTTGACATCCTCTCCTACCCGATATCGGCCAGACCGCGAGGTTGACCCCTATCACCCGTTCCCCGACATCCAGCGCGTGCAACCGTACCAAACACCAACACGTAGTCCGCAACGTGCAATGGCCGCGGGAGAAACAAGTTCTGGGCAGAGCTGGAGACATGGCCGTACTTTTCATCAAGATGGGCAACTCGGCCGTGCTGATGCGCGAAGACGCTTGCCTTCATTTCGGCAGGAGCCGAAGCATGAGAACATTGCTGTCAACAATGCAGTGCTCTCGGAGGAAAACTTCAGGCTGCAGTTTCCCCTCCTGTCTTTCCTCATGGAGCATTCTCTGCTAGATGATGGTTCTGCCCATGGAGGTCGAAAGTCGGATAAGCCTACCTGGCTGATATGTCGTGACCCCAACCATGGCAGCGCGTGCAGACACGGGGCTTCGGTGTTTTTCAACACGGGACATGATCCAGATTCGTCGGAAAACAAGCCGGTCCATGTTGAGGCAGATGATTGTGGTTCCCGTTTTAGTGCATCGAGCGAGGAGAGGGCATCGCCGCCTTCAGATGCTCGCACGTTCAGCACCACTCAGACGTCGGAGGAGGTGTATCCGGCGAACGAATGGGAGAACTGGGGTTGATGGTTCAGGCGGCCCACGAAGGCCTTTGTTAAGCATACAATCATGATAAAACTTCTTCATCAACTGATACCCCGAGGAATTCTGCACATGGCCATTCGTCCCCGGAACTACCTGTTGCTGCGACAGCATCACAAATGCTTTGCAAAACTGAGACTTACTGTGTGTATTACGCGACCAAATAAAAAGAGATAAAAAAAAGTCACGCCCACCCTAGGCTCCTCCCATGATCCTTCTCCAGAAAGACGCGGGCGTCTTCTCGACCTCGGGCACCGTCGGCGTCAGGACAACAGTATCCCAGACCTCGTTGCCGTCGATGAACAAGCGATAGGTAAGGCTGCTGCGCGTTCCGCCCTCGTGGCTCTCAATAGTGAGCGCGCCAAATTTGGCGTTGCCAGAGTGGATATACCTTTTGACGTCAAGTTAGCAAACACGCACGTGATTGTGCTCGGGGGGGGGACGTCTTACTTGATGGCAACATCTTCGTCGTCATACTGCCTGTACGTCGGCACGGGCGAGGAGAACTGGTTCAGCGGGCTGCACGAGAACTCGTGCGGCGCAGCCGTCTCGGGCCAGCGACCGCCCTCGGGGGGCGGGAACTTGGTGGCGGCAAACTCGTGGCGGTCGCCGGACACGACGACGACGCCGACGCCGCGCGCCCCGGCATCCCACATGGCCTCGAGGACCTTTCGCCTCTCGGAGAGGAAGCCGCCCCACGTGTCCTTTGTGTTGACGGGCCAGTTCTTGGTCAGAGGGACCGAGGAGGCTACGATCTTCCACTGGACGCCCTTGGGCTCCGGGCGGCGGAGCCAGGCGAGGAAGTCCTCCAGCTGCTGGGCGCCGAGCATTGTCTTGTTTTCGCTCGCAAAGGGCTCGTGGTTGTCGGAGCGGTACGTCCGCGTGTCGAGGAGGAAGAAGCTGGCGGGTCCCTGGGTGAACTCGTAGTAGGTTGCGCCGAGTCTCCGCGCGCGGGAGCTGCCTGCGACGAGAGCGGCGGGCGGGTTGGGCTTGGCGTGGTAGTGGTGCCAGGGGTCCACGGCGGCCGAGTATACGCCGGTCGTGTTCGCCGACCAGTCGTTGGCGATTTCGTGGTCGTCCAGCACGTGAATCCAGCTGAGGTTCTGGGCGACGGGCGCCCAGTCGGGGGAGGCGTAGACGTGACGGTACTTCTGCCTGTAGTCCTCGGCCGTCATGCCCAGGCGCTTGGGAACGTCAATGTAGATGAAGTCTCCGAGGAAGAGCATCAGCTGAGCCTGCAGCGAGGGAAGGAGCTTTGCGAGATGGCGAAGACCGGGGATGGAGAGAGGGTGATCGAGTGGGTTGTAAGGGAACCGTGGAAGGATGCACGACGTCGACAAGAAGGTGAACTTTCCATCATTGTAGGACGATAGCTGTCCAGGCTTGGGAGGCGACGTGAATTCGCCGGAGTGGTTGTTCGAAGTCCTCCATTCGTAGATGCGCTGCTGGGGGTGCCTCAGAGGAACGTCCAGAACGGTGGTGAAATCGGTTGAGTTGTCGAGCAGAGTGATCTCGCCGCCGGTGAGCCAGAGAGGGTTGTCGAAGGGAGCGATGGCGTCCTTGACATGGATCTCGAGCGTGACAGGTAGTTTCGTCTGGTCGGGCTCTCTCACGAGGAACTTGGCCTCGTTGTGGGAGACGTAGCCGAGTCTGACGAAGGAAAGATCGTTGCTGGGATACTGGTACCGTGCTCTGAAGAGGACATCACTCACCATGGTGGCCAGAGCCACGTTGATGAGGAACGTGAGGAGCGACAGGATCGGGCTGTGGTGAATAGGTGCCCCGGTGAGAAACGACTTCAGGGGGTTGGCGGGCTTCTCTTCCAGTGTGATGGTCTCATCGATTTCAGCCTCGAGGACGACCTTGTCATCCTGGCCAGCCTCGCCCTCGACGACGACAGGCTCCTCGACAATAACCTCGACTTGATCATCAACGACCTGATAGTCTGGCCCTTTCAGGTACGATATTATGAAAGAAGGCACGTAAACAGCAAATAATGTGAGAATAGTCAGGGGGACGGCAGCCTGTGTCATGGTCAGCCCTTCATCCTCGTAGGGAGCCTTGTAGTACGCACAGGTCCGGCAACCCATCGAAAGAAGCTGTAGGAAAGAAGCCTCAGGACTATTGATGAGTACCTGGCTGTCTTCTCGTGGAGAGACATTGTGAGTGAGGGTTGTGATGCCCCACAGGAGCAGGCGAAGGGCGAAAGGTACAAAGCAAAGTGATGAGGGGGGATCAGACGGGTATCACGGGTAGAGGCAGGATTAGAGAGTATGACTGGAAAGTATCGGAAATGATGAGAAAAAGGCCGGCATTGGCGCGTCGAGAAGCATTTGGTGCCTTTCGTGACATGTAGTAGGTAGAGCTAGCTGGCACAAAGCAAAGGCAGCACCCGAACTGGGGACCAAGGCGCTGTCGCAGTAACCTTGTGCGCCCCTGCAAGACGAAGACGTCAGTGCTGATGAAGTCACCAAGACGCGCGCCGGTGGGTCCCGACGCGGTGTCTTGACGCGATAAGTGATCTGACTCCACCAGCCACACCTCAGGGGCTCTGGAGCCATGATCTGTGGCTGAACGTTCAAGGGCCTACATCCCAAACGGCCAAACGGGGCACTAATTATCCGGGACGTGCCTCTCAATCGAGTCGCGACCGTGGCCGGTTCGTCACTCGAGCTTTTGGCGACAGCTTGCAGCTTGCCCCCCAAATTCGCACCAGCCGACGAGATCAACGCCCGGCACATGCCAGATCAGCCCCAACCACACCCATCATGAGGTTGTCCGCTTTCGCCTGCGGGCTCTACGCCTGCCTCGTCTCCCAAGTTGCGGCCACTGCCCTCACCTACAAGCTCGGAGCCCACGAGAAGGCTTGCTTCTACACTGTGACCCAGAATCCGGGCGAGAAGATTGCTTTCTACTTCGCCGTGAGCATCGACGCCGTTCCCCCTCCTGGCCACAGCCTGCTGACCGTGCTGACCAGGTCCAATCCGGTGGTTCGTTCGATGTCGATTACGTTGTCACCGGCCCGAACCAGAAGGTCATCCTCGATGGCGAGAAGGAGCGCCAGGGCGACTTTGTCTTCAACGCCAACGTCATTGGCGAGTACCAGTTCTGCTTCAACAACGAGATGAGCACCTTCGCCGACAAATTCGTCGACTTTGAGATTGCCGTACGAGCACACTCTATGCACCGACGAACACGAACCATACTGACACTTGCCGCACTAGGTCGAGAACGAGAAGCGCGCCGAGCTGCCGTCGAAGCAGGGCACCTCCCCCGAACAGACGTCCGTTCTTGAAGAGACCGTCTTCAAGCTCTCCAGCAAGCTGTCGACCATCTCCCGAGGCCAGAAGTACTTCCGCACGCGCGAGAACCGCAACTTTGCCACCGTCAGGAGCACCGAGTCGAGGATCATCAACTTCAGCATGGTCCAGTGCGCTCTCATTGTTCTCATGGGCGGCCTGCAGGTCTTCGTTGTCCGGTTCTTCTTCCAGGGTGCGCGCAAGGGCTACGTGTAAAGGGCGGGACTGGCCCTGTCATGGCATATGTTCTGGATTCATCATGGTGGCGCTGGCAAAGGGAGGAGCCGGCGGAGGCTCACACGTATCGTGGGCTCAAAAGCGATGTGCCGCACTCGATGGGCAACAACTTTGATGACTTGATTTATCACAGGTGGTCTGGAAGACCAGGCGGACTGCGCCGCGTCCATTGGCGAGGGGCTGCAGAGGCTGGTCTATATGAGCACATGAGCGTAGTTCACAATCATATTCCCAACGATGATCCAACCGTCACATGAGCGGGCCACCTTGAAGTCTACAAGACTGACCAGATTTGATGTCCGATTTTGCATCCCTTGCCTCTCAGGGGGCCTCTACTAAGGGAGCCCGATACGTGGCAAGGGCTGCTCGAGAAAGTGTGCTGACTAAACATCCCCCCCGCCTATGGCTCCAGACATTCGGAAGCGTCCCGCCGAGTTGCTTGCTGCTAAGATCTTTTAGCGTCCTTCATGTTCGATACGCCTGGGCATCACAATTGCCATTGCGACATTGAAGCGCGCCCTGCACATCGACAATCTTGGTATACATTGACACAGCTGGAGCAGCGTGCTTTGACGAGCGAAGTCCTAAAATAAATACTGCCCATCTTACACACTCCAGCGACATTGCTGGTCCCGGCGCAGCATCAGCACAGCCTTCAGCACTCCATCCGATTCCCACCAAACCGCCACCATGGGCAAAGCAGAGGTCGGCTCGACAAAGCACCTGTCGAACAAGCTCAAGAGCAAGGGCCTCCAGCGCCTGCGCTGGTTCTGCCAGGTGTGCGAGAAGCAGTGCCGCGACGAGAACGGCTTCAAGCTGCACTCGCAGAGCGAGTCGCACGTGCGCCAGATGCTCGTCGTCGGCGAGGACCCGAAAAAGTTCATCAACGAGTACAGCAGCCAGTTCCTGCGCGACTTCATCATGCTGCTGCGGACGGGCCACGGCGAGAAGCAGGTCCAGATCAACCGGTTCTACCAGGAGTACATTGCCAACAAGGAGCACGTGCACATGAACGCGACCAAGTGGCCCAGCCTCACCGAGTTTGCCAAGCACCTCGGCCGCGAGGGCATCTGTCGCGTGGAGGAGACGGACAAGGGGCTGCACATCTCGTGGATCGACAACTCGCCCGAAGCGCTGCGCAGGCAGGATGCGCTGAGGCGGAAGGAGGCGCAGGACAGGGGCAACGAGGAGGTGGAACAGATGATGATCCGCGAGCAGATCAAGAGGGCACAGAAGGCGGCGGGCGTCAAGAGCGACGACGAGGAGGACCAAGAGGACCGCCAGCTCAAGAGGCAGGAGGGCGAGAAGATTACGCTCTCCTTCGGTGCGAAGCCGCCCGCCACGACCACAGCCAAGCCAGAGGTGACGCCGCCCCAGGACGAGTCGTCAGCGTCGCCTGCCCCGGCGCGAGAGACAAAGCCGGAGCCGAGTGCGGAGACAAAGGACGCACCGGCCGCGAAGCCGTCACTCGGCGGCGTGTCGCTCAAGATGACGGCCAAGCCGCAGACCAAGAATGTCTTTGCGCAAGCGAAAAAGAATGCGTTAGGCGGCGGCAGCACCAAGAAGAATGCCTTCCAACAGCCGAAGAAGATGAGCGAGGCGGAGAGGATCATGAAGGAAGACATGGAGAGGATGGACAGGAAACGCTCGAGGGACACGCCAGGGTCAGGGCCGCCTTTGTGGAAGAAGCAAAGAACGAACAACTAGTGCTGTCTGTCATCGAGTATTCGGCGTTATCAGTCTTTCGGTCACGGTCAGGGTTCATGGTCGGGTGCCACGGTAGATACCAATTGCAAGAAGTTATGAATTTCCGGAAGAGTCTGGGCCTCGACTCTTTCATATGCCCCCCACCCCCATCAAACGCCGTTGCAGAAGTCACACGTGTTGGTCCCAAGCCGTATCAAGCTCCGTCGTCCTGCTCAGTACCATCTCTCCTGTTTCGCTGTTAGAACGTGACCCTGGGCGGCGAGGCTGTCGTGAGAGCAGGGGCGCAAGGACTTACGGAATGTACCGCCGGCCATACTCCTCCTCCAGCTGCATCCGAACCTCGTCCGGGAGCTGGCCCGACACCTTGGTCGCGTAGACACCCTTGACGTAGCCGTCCAGGCGCTGCCACTTTGCAACCCACGACCTCGACGGATCCGCAAGCGTGATGAGGCCCTCAAAGACCTGCGACGTGCAGCTCTCGATTTGTTCCTGCGAGCCCGCGAGATGGAGGACCTCCTCGCAGTTTGGGCATCCTTCGTCGCGGAAGCGCTGTGGCAATCAGGTCAGCTCGCCATCGGTCAAAGGGGTGGAGCGGTGGCTGGCGGGTCGTACTGCTGTGGTCATGACGATGGAGCACACCATGCAAGCGCGGAGGAAGCGCTGCTGGTTTGGAGCGACAAAGTTATTCGCCATGACGGTCGTGTGTCTGTCGGGAGAGGGCGCTTGAGTTTGGGCGCGGTGTTGTTCGTGGCGCAATACCGTGTTGGTCAGGTCTCGGTAGCTGGATCGTCAAGAAATCCAACAGGGCGTTTGTTTGTCCTCGAGCTTTGATGGGAGATGCATCTAACAGGGCGGCTGCCCCGCCATCACGCACTGTACAACAAACCCGACCAGACCTGCTCAATGCTAAAACTTCCATCACCAAGTCGCGACAAACCTCACACTTCATATTTCAGGGGTCCGAAAATTTGCACAGAGCCGCCATGTCGACTCAAAGCAAGGGCCAGGATACTGCACCGGCCAGCACACAGCAGGCCCACCAAAATCACAAGTCGCACGAACTCTTGACATGCTCGATCAAGGCTCCCTTATACTCCTATGCCCACTTGGAGGTGGCCAGGGATGAGCCGGGGACGACATCAACAGACGCGCTGCAATTTCACTCGTTTTGTACCTCCGCTTTGACGCAGTTCCTGGGCGCCACGGGCGCAGCAATCTCGATGGATATCCTTAAGGTCCAGGGCAACGAGTGCTGGCTACGTGTCCCCCGCCAAGATCTAGGCGCCTTCGCGGCTGCCTTGACAGCATGGCCGGGGACGCGAGATGCTGGTGCTCATACGATACTCAGGATACGACAATGCTCTGACTGGCTCGGTGCCATGGTCGGCGGAGACGGACAAGACAAGCTTTGGACGTCATGACAGATTTCATGAACAAACCTCTGAGGTTGGTTCTGGTTTCGACTATAAGACAACGGCCAGAACTCCCTTTTTTGGATGGACCGCCTATCCCACCTGGCCACGGCGGCAAAATATACGCCCCCCTTGCGCGCTCCTAATCAGCGGCGATGCTCCGAAACCCAACTCCGACACATGACCGTCATCGCCAAGTCGAGCCTTGTTCACATCAGAGACGACATAAGAGAGCTTTGGGCGTACGCCTGCAGACTGGTCAGCGGAGTCTCTCGAGAGGGCCGAGCACTGAAGGAACTTACCATCGGCTTAATGTCCGGGTGAGCGACTGCATCAAACTGCTCAAACTGCAGCTTGTAATCGGGTCCGATGTTGATATAAGCACCCCGGTTCTCGGTCGAATCGCAGTACTTGGGCGCAGAAAAGACTGGAGCGAAAAGGGTCAGTCAAACCAATAAAACAACACGAATGCCACCGTTTTCTTACCTGTGATGCACCGTCCATCGTGCTGCACCTCGTAACCATCCATGCGGACTTCGTGACTGCGGATGACAGCCTCGAGACCGTTGTTCTCGCAGAACTTCTTGGTGATGTCAGGGCCGAACTGCATGCCGACACCGCGCTTGCTGGGACCACGACCAGGCTCCTCCTGGGGATCGGTCCAGAGCATCTCCATCATGAGACCAGACTGGCCAGGCTGGCGCTGCTTGTGCCTGTCGAGAGCACGGATGTCATCGAGGGTGACCTTGTCGTCGGAGAACAGACCGCCGTGCAGAACGAGGTACTTGGAGCCGATGAGGGTCGCCAAGGGCAGGGCAGAGAAGCTCTCGGAGAAGAGCTTGAATATCCTGGGTTTTGTGAGCTTGCTGTCCTTCATTCGAAGCATGTGAGACGTACCTCTCGTTGTACTTTGCCTTGCACTCGCCCTCGAAACCGTACACGCGGTTCATGTCGTCGGTCTCGTGGTTGCCGCGGTTCAGAAAGAAGGCCTTGGGTCGCAGCCACTTGTTGGCATACAGTAGCAGCGCGATCTCGGTGGACCAAGATCCTCGGTCGACGAAGTCGCCGTTGAAGAGGTAGTAGTGCTTGTCATCCGGCTTGCCGTTCAGGCGGAACAGCTCCATCAGATCGAAGTACTGACCTGTACGCTCATTAGTCCCATGTCTCGAGGAGAGCCGTAGCCCGTTACGTACCGTGCGTATCACCGCAAACAGTGAGTTTCACATCATCAGGAATCGTCATTTCCACCATGGTCGCCTCGTCGTACACAAGCTGCTTGACGGCCAGCAGAATCTGGTAGACATACTTCTTGTGGATCAGCTTTCCATTCTTGAACCTCTCCGTCATATCATCAATGAACTCTTGAGTCATCTCGTTGCCGAGCCTGACACCGTCGTAGTCGGCATCGACCACCATGGAATCGACATCCAGACCCTCAGCAGCCGAGGGCTCGTCGCCAACCTCGATAGCGGCAAAGAAGTCAAGCTTTCGCACAATCTTCCTGCACTCGTCAAGCTTCAGCTTGGCATCCTTGTTATTGGGGTCGATCCTGATGCATTCCCTAAAGTCCTTGAGAGCCTCCTTGGGCCGAATGATGGCGGTGTGGGCCAGGCCTCGTCGGAAGTACGCCTTGACAAGCTTGGGGTTCAAGGCAATGGCCTTGTCGCAGTCGGCGATGGCATAACCGTAGGACTCGGCCTTGATGTGAGCCTGCGCAAGGAGAGAGAACGTCAGTCACGCGAGCAGGAAAGAGGTGACAGACAGGGCAACACACCTGCGCTCGGTTGGTAAAGTATGTGGGCTCCTTGTCGTTCAGGTCGATCGCCTGGGTGTAGAAGCTGATGGCGGTGGGCCAGTCGTGTTCGGCGAAGGCCTTGTTGCCCTGGTTCTTCAACGCCGTTGCTTGCTCCTCTGGGGTGGCCATGTCTGTGGTGTTGCGCCGCGTGGGGTACTTGGCTGCCAAGCTCGGCGCAAGGTTCGGAGAATCGAGGGGTGCTGAAATAATGCTGCTGGGAGGAAGAAACGCGGCGCTGCGGAGAAACTGAGGGAACTGCCGAGATTTTAAGAATTTGAGTTTTGGGCTAGATCGGAGTAGAAATGGGAAAACAAAATCGCCCTTCAGCAGGAGGCGATTCACGATCGACGGAAACTTGCAAGGATCATGCTCAAAGGCATTTCAATAGAAGCTGGGAGGAACCCGCGCGCGCGGGTTGCCTCGATTGCATTAACGCTAGGAGGGGTCGTTGAACATGGCCTATTTGCCTATCTCTTTGTCCGTTATCACACATCCTACCCTCACTGTGCTGCAGGTGGCGGGACTCTTCCGCACCTGCTCGTGATGGCATTGTTGCCTGCGGAAACTTAATATCCAGCCAACCCATCTTCCGCAAACCGAGAAACGTCACCATCACATACACCAGCCATCTGCCCTTGCGCTGGCGGAAGCCGGAAGGCTAGGCCTCTCGTGTACGATATTTTTCCTGAGCCACCAGTGCAGCCCAACCCAGACCTCAACGCCTTAGCCATGGATCTTCCCCCAACGCAGGCGCTGGTGCGGAAGCGCGCCGACACCGATTTGATGCCGCCACCACCACCGACCAAGAAGATTAAGCGACCGAAGAAGGTCATTGACGAAGATGCATACACCGATGCTTTGTCCCAAATCATCGCACGTGACTTCTTTCCTGGTCTCCTCGAAACGGAAACGAAGCAAGAATACCTGGACGCTCTCGAATCCAAGGATGCGGCCTGGATATCCAACGCAGGTCAAAGGCTGCAGCGCGTTATGACTCCTGGACGCCACACCTCCCAAACACCACGAAGGAAGACAAGCCATACAAACAATGGGCGGACACCCTCGGCATATGGCGCCGACACGCCAATGTCGGCTTCGACCACTGCCAGGGAGGTGCCTGTGCCAGCGGTAGATACCAACATGAGCCTGGCGAGCTTCCAGGCCAAATATACTAGCGAGGACAACGAGAGTTTCTACAAGCTCTTGGACAAGCAAAATCAGAAGAAGGCTGAGAAGTATGCTTGGATCTGGCGTGGGAACAAGTTGCCGTCGAAGCAAATGATCAAGCAAGCCGAAGTCGAAGCAAAGATCGCGACGACGAGAAGCCTAGTTGATGACGGCTTCAAGCGCGACAGGCTGGCCATCAAGGATAAGGACGACAGGCCTGGCCGGCCGGACAGTTGGAACGCGAATCCCCGAAATGGCCTAATGTTCGAGCCGGAGGGGGTAGATGACGAGTACGAAAGCCCTGCGCAAAAAGCGCAAGCTGAGTCCAGAATGGCGCCCAAGTCGATCAATTATTCGAACACGAGGGTACCGGAGCCTGCTGCCATCAAGCGACCCGCATCTCCGACCCTGTCTGCTGTAAGAGATGCCATCGCTGGACGGACCAGGGCCAATGACCAGAACTCCAGCATGGCGGGGGGTAGCGAGACGCCAAGAGTCAACGGATATGCATTTGTTGATGACGAGGATGATGAGCCGGAGACAGTGGCGCTTCCGGTCATTGATCTCGGACCAGGAGACGCCACTCCGAACCCTTTCAAGCTCCAAGAACAGGGCAAGAGAGAGAGCCTCCACCACCGTCTCGTCGAGCGGGCGGCCCAATCGAAACGAGAAGCTGTGAAGAACGGGCTGTCTGGCAAAGTAGCTAAGACGCCTGTGCCCAAGTTTCCATCAAGCCCGCGCGTCACAGGAGGATTGACGCCTGCAGCGCAGAGGTTATGGAGCCAAATCGGAAGCCCCCGGCCTGGCAGCTCAGGTGGTTCCGGATCCAAGTCAACGCCCATGCGAGCTCGTGGCTCTCTATTGAAGAGCGTCTCAAGGAAACAATAGAGGATATGACATGTATGAGATAAATAAGATACCCCAGAATCAATTCGAGCGTAATACCTTTTTTTCCGCACCTCATCTGCTCCTCAACTGTAAATTACTCAATTGTTGCATATACTGTGTAAAGCAATCTTCAACTTTGGTTCGATGACGACCTGTGAACTTGGTCCCAGCTCACCACAACATACAGACCTTCTTGACTTAATTTGACGAGGATATGAGTGTGATGCCAGCAAAACAGCATCTCCTCTCGCTTTTCAGATGAGGTTTGTTAGATTCGCCATCGACCTGGCATCGGTCCTGAATGCCTCACGGTCCGTGGCAACCAAGCATGTCGCGTTGCGAGGTAGGCAGCTGGAGTCTCTCAACAGGACATCCGGCATCGCCGCTTCACTGAAGAGTCGAAGGATCCGTCCTTCAGCAGAACCACTGGAAGCGCCAACACCGGCGGCTCCAACTACAGCCACCCAAGATGCACCATCTGCAACGCCCGCAGAGACAGGACCTATCGTTGCCAATGATGCTGCCTCATCAGCGCAAGTCGCACAGCAAGCTACGCATGTACCGCACAAATCTACAGCGTCTCCATCTCCGGGCTTCAGTCACGCAGCAGGTCTACACCCTGATTCGAGCTCCGTGCTCTCGCAATTGAGGCAAACTAAGCCTACAGTATCGCAATGGTCTGATGCATCTCCCTTGGAATCAAGCCAGCGCACCCCGGACGCTGGCCTGGCGCAGGCTCTGGAGTCTCAAAAGCCATCATCAGCACCAAAGGGTCCTGACGAATCGGAGGATGTACCCCCCGGAATCGACGTCAACATTTTCCACACCAAACGAGGATCCGGCCTGCTGGGGGATCTCGGAGCGAGGGAAAAGCCAAAGCCCACGGGGTTGCCCGAATTCATGCAGCATTCTCATTCAGTATCGTCCAAGCCACATGCGAAACCCGTTCCACCCACTCCAACGCCTCAGACTTTACCCAGCACCAAGGCAGAGCCAGTTGGCGGCCCGGCCAGCCAGGATGCCAACCAGTCACTCCAGGCTGCTCTCGACAAAGTCGAAGCAACTAGCCCTGCGCCTCAAAAGACGGATGTTGAGGCAACCCGACCCGTCCATGTCCTGAGAGAATCCAAGGTACCCTCGTCACGGATGGGTCGCCTCTGGAACTATGGCGGCCTCGCAGCAGGAATCATGGGCGGCGCCATCACGGAGGGCATCGGGCGGGCTTTTGGTGGAAGCGGCACAGGGTCTGTGTTGCTGAGTGCCGGAAACATGGAGCGGTTGGTCTCCAAGCTCTCGAAGATGAGAGGCGCGGCACTGAAGCTCGGGCAGATGATGAGCTTCCAGGACTCCAAGATGCTCCCGGCACCTTTGCAAGAGGTCCTTCAGAGGGTTCAAGACCGGGCGGACTACATGCCCGCATGGCAGCGGGACAAGGTCTTGGTCGCAAACTTGGGACCCCAATGGCGAGATCTCTTTGAGGAATTTGAGGAGAAGCCAATCGCCGCAGCGTCCATTGGTCAGGTCCATCGAGCCATTTTGAAGGAAGGCAGCCGACGCGTTGCTGTCAAGATCCAATTCCCTGGAGTGGCCGATTCGATCAACTCAGATCTCGACAACCTGAGTATCCTGCTGACGGCCACCAAACTGCTGCCCAAGGGTCTCTACTTGAACAAGACGATCGACAATGCTCGTTTGGAGCTGGGCTGGGAGTGCGACTACGAGCGCGAGGCGCAATGCGCCATCCGCTACAAGGAGCTTCTTGCTAACGACCAGGACACATTCCTAGTGCCTACTGTCTACCTGGAAGCGTCGGGGAAGCAGGTCTTGACCATGGACTTCATGGACGGTGTTGGCGTAACCCGAATCAAGTCCTTCACCCAGGACCAGAAGGACTGGATTGGCACCCAGATCCTACAGCTGTGTCTTCGCGAAATCACCGAGTTCCGCTTCATGCAGACCGATCCCAACTGGACCAACTTTTTGTACAATGCCAAGACCAACAAGCTCGAGCTGCTCGACTTTGGCGCCTCGCGCGAGTACCCCGACACGTTTGTCAAGCAGTATGTACAGCTTCTGGCTGCTGCATCTCGCTCCGATCGCGAGACGGTAAAGAGCCTTTCGGAGAGCCTGGGATACCTCACGGGCCACGAGAGCCGAGTCATGGTTGATGCACACATTAAATCCGTGCTGACGCTGGCGGAGCCGTTCCTCGCCTCGGCGCCCGAGGTTTACGATTTCAAGGACCAGAGTATCACTGAGCGCGTCAAGGCTTTGATCCCGGTCATGCTTGCGGAGCGCCTAGCACCTCCACCTGAGGAGACATACAGCCTTCACCGAAAGTTGAGCGGCGCTTTCTTGCTATGCGCCAAGATGGAGAGCAAGGTTAGATGCAAGGGGATGTTTGAGGAGAGCCTGAAGAAAAACGGCTTCATGTAATAGGGGAGCTGCGGATCATCCCACCATGTAACAACCTGTAACAGTAGATGAGACGTCCGGTTAAAACGTGTACAATGGGCCACAGGTAGATAGAATACACACACATCTTCGAACACAGTGAAAACAATCAACAAGAGCGCTTACTTCTTGCTACCAACAAGACAATCGAACATAAGAGCCTCCGGAATATGTGGATCCTGTCGTTCATCAACACAGCGTATATGAAGCACTGTCCCACGAGCCGCAAAAGGTTCTTTTGGATGGCAACTTCAACTTGGAGAAGAATTAGAACCGGCCGAACGACGTGTGCTTGTGAAGTGAATCTAGATTTCGTGTCTTGGCTGATTTGACCCGGCCACCTATGCCTCATCGCCGTTGCAGCTGGTCCAGTTCCATCTTCTCCTTGGCTGCCACCTTCTTCCTCTTGCGCTCGATGACCTTGTTGACCTGTTTCTTCTTCATGCCCTTGAACTGCTCCGTCAGCAACCTCTTCTTCTGCTCCGACTTCTTCAGATAGAACGGCTGTTTGCCCTGCTGGACAAGATCCTTCTCCCGCTGCCTGTGCTCCTCAAGGATCCTCTTCTCGTCGTCCTTGCGCTTTGCCGCCTTCTTTCGATTCTGCATTGATTGGAGCAGGGTCTGTAGTCGCTCCTTTTGTGCCGCATCCTTTGTCTTGCGAATCTCCATTCGGAGTTCGGCCATCTCCGAGTCACGATACTCATCGAGGAAAGCATAGGCCTTCTTGGCCTTGGCCTCGTCAAAGTTACTCCCCCTAGAGTTGACAGCTGGGTCGAAGCGGGGATCGCGGGCCTCAACCTTGGGCACCTGGAAAATCTCGCGTTTGCGAGAGACGGGGCGTTTCGAGGACATCTCAGTGGGTGCATGTTTGGATGATCGCTTAGCGAGACCGCCGCGCTTGCGGTACTTGCTTTCGTTGCCAGAGTCGCTCCCGGAGTCGTCGATTTCTGATTCTTCTGATTCTGCAGACTCCTTCGTGCTGCGCTTGGGCATAGATGCTTGGGCTTTCGCGAGGGCGCCGAATGAGATGGAAGCCATGTTGAGGTTGGATTTGGAAGACCGTGAGGCTTTGGGCTGCGATCATGTCAGTTCAGTGAACGCACGTAGTGACGCGGGCCTCGTACCTTGTCGTCATCCTTATCTTCATCTGAGCTGAGTTCTGAGCCCTCATTTTCTGATGGGTTGGAGCTCTCATCAATCTCGGAGTCAACCTCCTCCTTTCGCGCGCGTACACGCCTCTGAAGACCCGAGGGCCCCGCAGAAGGCGCCTTCCTCTTTCTTGCTGTTGATTTGAGCATCGTCGTGTGGAAAGTGAGACTGAAGGCTCAATGATTGAAGGTGTTGAGGATCTTCATTCACGATGCAACAGGGCGTGAGAGGTGGAGGTGGGGCCCATCCAACTTTTTAGTGGGGGCCATGGGCGATAAGATATGTAGTTATGTAAAGTTTGCGGGGCAGACATCGATTGATGCATACACGGTCCGATCTGGGTGTGGCTCTGGCCTCGAGTCGTGCCTCTGCTGGCGACTGGCCATGATGCGACATCTGTTGAAGCCATTTCCTCGTGTTTTGACTCTGCACACTCCATTCAGTTGCACAGCAAAGCTCATGCACTTCCATCCTAGCAGGATTCTCTCAGGACCTCTGCGTCCGCAGTCCACCAAGCCAACGCACCCCCGATCCTTTAACGTCGTTCTAGGGACACCCTCGCAACCACGAACATTGACCACCAGTGCGAAACGCTGCTTGTCGCCTGCAAAGCCAGAACCGTCCCGGAGAACAACAGCACATACAGGCCCTGGCGCTCTAGAACTACGTGAAAGCCTGCAGATATACACACGCAAACAACCTAGAATGGAGTACAACTCCTTCCGTGGCAATGCTGCCCCTGGCGGCGGGAACTTTGCCATGCAGCCTTCTCAGATGCCCAGCTTCTACTTCGACACAACCCCAGGCGGCACATCACAATTCCATTCTGGTCCTTCCGTCCCCGCGCCCACAGCATCACATGGTAATATGCAGACGAACCAGCCCGTATCGATCCCAACAGGCCCCGCGGCGATGACGAGGTTACCGCCGCCAAACGCCCCTACCGAGCCGTAAGTCGACAATGCACCCAACTATCTCCTCCTCTTCCTGCAGGTCAAGCACAAACTAACCTGTCCAATGAACAGAAAAGGCAAGCTCAACAAGAAAGCCAAGGCTCGGGGCGAGAAAGGAAGCAAGCGCAAGATCAAGAGCAACAACGGCCCAGCAGAGGAACGCGACAAGGTCGTCGCCCCGAGCGCCGCTTCAGGCGGCATCCCCAACCCGACACCAGCCTACCTCACGCAGGCCGAGAAGCCTCCGACGACGCTCGCGCGGCCCCGCGCCATACCTCGTCGTGCTCGACCTTCAACGGCACGCTCCTCCACCGGGCCCGA